TAGGTAGATCCTTGTGGTATAACAATATATTTGGTCTTTGTCATCAGTTCCTGGCACTGAGCTCCTAAAACCCTTAGACATTCCAGAGTGATAGAAGTCTCTTTCAAGTTATTCCATAAGGCGCCCATTGTAAGCATACCTGGGTTTATGCTAACGAGGTAACTTAGGGTGGGGGCCTGAAATAGCCTCAGGCTGGGGCTGCTCACCAGAAGGAGCAAATGATTAGACCTCCAGAAGGGGAAGGGTGCCTAGGAAATTACTTCCTATTAAAACTCTTGAGCAAGGAGAGAACTTCCAGGTTGGTGAAGGAATCCACATTCTGGGAGGGATGCACACCCCGGTTCCACAAGGACAGATGCTCCGGCTTCAGGTGCCTTCCAGACCCGGCCCTATGTACCTCTTCATCTGGCTGTTCATCTGTATCCTTTACAGTACCCTTTATAATAAACTGGTAAATGTAAGTAATTGTTTCTCTGAGCTTCGTGAGCCATTTTAGCAAATTATCAGACCCAAGGGGGATTTGTGAGAACCCTCCATTTATAGCTGGTTGGTCAGGAGTACGAGTGGCCCGGACTTGCGATTGGCACTCATGATTGGTATCTGAAGTTGGGGACAGTCTTGTGGGACTGAACCCTTAACCTGTGGGATCTGATGCTATCGCTACATAGAGAGCATCAGAATTGAGTTAAATTTGTAGGACACTCAGTTGGTATACCCTGAGAATCAGAGAACTGCTTGGTATGGGGGAAAAAAACCACACATCTGGTGTCTGAAGTATTGAGAGTAGGGAGAAAAATAGAGTGTTCCCTTATAATCTTCTTTTTAGAAAATCCAATTTATGAACAGCCAGATTTACCCCCAAAATAATGCAAGAGTTTACCAAAAGGTGTTTTACCTTTCAAAGGACCTCTATGTAGCATGTTTCCTTAGCACAGTTTAAAAGATTCTTTTGATTGAAAATCCACTTACTCCTCCTTTTTCAGAGTCTCTGCTTAAGCCACGTGCAGCATTCCCATGGGACCAAACAACCCCTCTCTAGGGTTCCCAGGGGAAGACAGTAGTCACGTGACCTGCTCAGGAACTTGGGTAGCAGCAGTCCCGTGTCCTAACTGCTAAGCCAGTGCTCTTGCCCAAGTCCATCATTTCTGTATTCTCACTTTAAACAATTATCACTCTCGTGGAATTCTTTCCATTTGGACCTCACCTTAGCCAGAAAGTATTAACTCAAGTGAACCCTGCAAGACACAGCCCTCATGGAACCCACAGACAGACGCACTTTGGACAGCTGCTTTATAATATGACGAGGAACACCCAAGTCCATCTAACCAGACGGGAGAACAGGCCCTCCAGGCTGGAGCTGGCTGCAATCTCTTTCCAGCTCTGTCACTCAGTGGATGTGCAATGTCACCAGCTATCTTACTTAACTATGTCTTGGCTTTTTTATCTTCAGTAAAACAACAACAAAAATATTTATTTCCTGCTAATAGGAGTCGTCTGAGATAACATAATTGTTCGTGTCCCTCAAGAGTGAAGCAAAAAGTACACATGTGGCTATATAACTAATAAAAACCATTCCAGGATCATCTTTCCTTGGGATTCAAATACTTCTCATTTACAATCCCTCTGCATGTGGAACAAGGCAATTTTACTTAACAGATTAACTGCTCTGCTTTAAGGCACAGAGTTTGACTTGTGTCTCATCCCCTTCTGAATCCCTATGCAGTTTTCTTGGTGCCACATGCTATTATTCTCAACCATTAGGAATAGAGGAAAAGAAAAGCCTTAATAATTAAGTCCAGTAGGCCAGAGTCTTTCAACATGGGTGCTATTGATATTCTGGACAGAATAATTCTTTGTGTGGGGAGCTGTCCAGGGCATTGTGGGGATGTTTAGCGGCATCCCTGGGCTCTACTCATTAGATGCCAAGGGCAGTCTCCCAGTTGTGACAACCAAAAATGTCTCCAAACACTGCCAAATGTCCCCTGGGGAGCAAAACTGCCCCTGGTTGAGAACCCCTCATTATACATATAACACACAAACATTTGGAAGCCATCACCTAAAAGGAAAACTTTAGCCTGGAAAGAGAAGACAAAGAGATGGCACAATTCTCTTTAAATACTTGAAAAGTTTCCATATAGAAGCAGGAACAGATTTTGGATGCCACAGAGCAGAACTATACCCAGTGGGTAGAAGTTACATAATAATAAAACCAGCTAACATTTATTCTCGCTACATGCCAGACACTGTTTGGTGCACTCGGAAGCACTGTTCCATTTAATCCTCACAATAACCCTCTAAAGTCAGTAGTACTGGCCCCACTGTATAGATGAAAAAACTGAGGCTCAGAAATGTTAAAGAATGTACCCAAGGTCTGAGAACTAATGGCAAAAGGCAGAACCAGAACTCAAACCGAGGTCTAACTCTGAGCCCAAGCTCTTAACACCACTACGCCTACGACAAATTAAAAATTTTACCTTAACATAATAAAGAACTTTTTGACTTAAAAACTGTTTCTTTCACCAACACTGATTCTTGAAGCCACCATCTCAATCCCATCTGTCCAGATCAGCAGGTCCAGAAAGTCCTCCTTCATTACCTACAGGGAAGTGGGCTCTGAACTCTGCTGAACCTCTTCATAACATTCATCTCCTCCTACTTCAAGTTACTCAAGCTACTCACTCAAGTTCTTTGTACTTAGAAAGCTCCTTGAGAGCAGGGCAACCAGCTTCTCACGTTTACACCGCGACAAAGCCCTGCATATACTGGCGCTCAACAAACGGTTTCTGAATGACGGCTCCTGAGGCAGAAGGCCTCTGCACCACCCCCACCCTCCAAAGCCCACACCAGAAGAAATGTTTAAGCAAGCACCTTCCAGAGATGTGACTCTTGCATCTGAGCTGAAGATTTTACTGGATATGCTCTGAATTTTTCCAATTCTCAGCATCTAAGTCAGGAAGGATCAGAAAGGGGTAGACGACTGGTAACACAGCTGGCAGGGTACATCTTCAGTCAAGCTACCCACAACTTGCTTGACTATGACCACATATCACGTGTCACAGGTGACACGTATTTATGTATATGCGTATATGTATATACACTTACATGTGTATGTACACATATGTATATCTATGAATGCATGTATATACGTACATCTCAATTCCCTCTACAAGAAACTAAGCAAATGTCTACAAGGTTTCTTGAAGCCAGCACAAAGAGGTCTAAATCAGGGGCCTCTTTTTTCTCCTGGTATATTATTAAGGTAAGGCAAATAATGCTCCACGTAGTGTTCTCCCTAAAATACCAGCACATCTGCCAACTAGTATTACCTCCTCCAGGCACCAGAGTCTGGCATCTTTTCAGGGAAGTGCCAAGTGGCCAAGCCCTATTGGAAGAAATGGGAGTTTGTGTGTTTGTGTGTTTGCATGTGTGTGTGGCAGTAAAGAGATGCACAAACAGTGGAGGGGGGAGAGAAGGAAACATCCTCTGGAATATTAAACATTAGTTTGGAGGTCACCTGTCAAGAGACTAACACTAACTGTATCTTATGGGCACTCTGTTTCCATTAGAAATCCCAAGTCTCCAGGCTAAAGTATTCTATTTCTCTAAAAAAAAAATATCCAGCTAGTGTCAAGTTCTCTAGGCTAATCTGGGAGTGAAGGGGAGAGCTGGCTGGGAATGCCACAGAGTAGAGCAATCAAGCAATTGCTTTGCCCAAGGGCCAGACTCAAAATAAGGAAAAGAAAGGTTGAGAGGAAGAGCATCTAGCATAAACCATGCTGGCAGTCCCTCCCTAACTTCCTCTGTGTTTTTGAGCTGTACAGCAAGGGCAGTAATCGTGTACTAACACAAGCCTTTCCTACTGTCACCAGGTTCCTCTTCACCGTATGAAGGTTCTTCTGGTTCTTTCCTTCCTAACCTTCTATCTCCATCAGTGACATGGCACTTTCCCCTTTTTTGCAACGAATCATCATTCAAAAGAGGCAGAAATGTAACTGTTCAGAAAATGAATTCAGACAGATGATGAAATGGGCTGGCCACCTAGTACAGGAACTAACACAAAACCAAACACATCAATACGACCCAGGAAACTTCCAGGACCAACCACAAACCCTCTCCTTCAATGTCCACATAGGTTTTTCCTTTTTTTCTTTAACTGAGTCTCCCAACCTGGGATAACCAGACAGAAGCTTTCAAATGCATGTATCTTATTCCAGGGGACCAGATGAAAATCGGAGCCATTTAACTCGATGTGTGTTTAAATGGGGCCCATTTTTAATCTGTCTACCTTTGTAGGACACAAAAGGGAGCTTGGAAGCCTGTAGTTTAGCGCTTGTCACCAACCCTATACTAAAGTCAAGGCAATTAGGCCCATGACTGCTAAAAATTTATCTCAAAGCTCCTGTCCTGCGCACATCAATCACAGTCATGGCTGAAAACAAACACAGAATTTTTAAAAATTCTTTAACCCACACTCAAGGAGTGGTGTGAAGGCAGCCGAGAAATCATGGCGACAGAAACAGCCAGTGATGAAGGGGGCAGCTGCTTCTCAGACCTGTTTTGGGACAGGGTACGGAACCAACCAGTGGTACTTTTCTCTCCAAATCTCGCTCCATCTTTACATCAGCCCATTCACCACATTTTGGTCCAACAAACTGTTTTTCTCCTCTGAGAGGTTTATGGCGAGGGCAAAAGGGACTGAAGACAAGCCAGGGGGCGATGCCTAGGGATTTGTTGCAACACGTAATGCTGGAAAACGTGTAGCTGTTTACTACCAGCGCCCGGCAGACGCCAAGCGCAGCGCGCAGCTGAGCGCACCCCTCGGGGCCCGACCCCGCCTCCCCCCCCAGCCTCCGGCTCGCAGGAATGTGGAGGCGACGCGCCACTGGCCCTCCCCAGCGCGCCCGCGGGACCCAGAGGCTGCCCGCGCGCCGGCCCCTGGGCATCAGCGCCGTCTCCCCTCGGCCCCCGCGCCCACCCCGCGCGCTGCCCGCCAGAGTTACCTCGGAGGCCCGGGTTGTCGTCTCTGGCGCGAATCTTTCGGATTTTGACTGGGCGCCCGCTCAGAGTGGACAGGACCAGACGCTGGCGCAAGAAGTTGCAGCCCGCGTAGCTGAGGGAGTGCGCCTGGGTCGCCATGTGCGCGCCCTCCACAAAGGTACGGGCGGCCGGGGCGCGGTGACTTCGGACTGGCGCGGGGGTCGCAAACCCGGCGGCGGCGGCGGCGGCGACGGTGGCGACCAGGGCTCCCTCCCGCAACCCCGCAGCCCCCGGCGCGTCCACGTGGTTTGGAACAGGAAGACGGAGAGACGAGACACCGGGTCAGAGGGGAGCGGGGCGGAGCCAGTGACCGCCTCCCCGCCTCCTCGCCCGGCTAGGGGCGGCCCCCACACCGGGCCACGCTGCTATTGGTCCGTGCGGGCTCAGGGCGGTGCCCTCCACGCGCCGCCATTGGCCCGCGCTGGAGCTGGGCGGTGCCCGGGCCACGCCGCCATTGGCCTGCGCTGGAGCTGGGCGGTGCCCGGGCCCCGGCAACAGCGCGCCGCGGGAGGAGCGCGGTGGGGGGAGGCCTAGGAGCCGGGGCGCGAGAGCACGCCTTCCCTGGCCATCTCCGCGGGGTCTCTCCCGGCGTGGGGGCAACGGGAGGCGACGGACTGGGGTTGATTGCCTACTACATGCCCTATACTTAGCCTCACTACTTAAACAGCAAGCCCTGGAATGTGGATGGTATTATCTCCCGCGCCTTTATCTTAATAGAAGAGAAAGCTGTATTGGCGCGCTTACCCTGTTGCAGACACCGTGCTGAACGCGCTGTCGGCGCTGTCCCCTCGCTGCCCGCTGTAACCCTACGAGGTAGTGCCATTCCCACCTTACACATGGGGAAAGGCTCGAGGAACATTGCAAAGCTGGCAGTGGCAGCATGCTCTGGGACCCGAGTCTTCCGACCCCCGGCCGTTGCTTATTTTGAGACAGCAGGCTTTGCCCCTTTCATATCGACCCCTTGCTTTACATTCGCTGCGCTTCACGCCAAGTCAGGGCCTCCCATCTCGCATGCCTCAGAATGGGTAGTTATAACTTCAAACACACACGTCCGTGCACACACACACACACGCACTGCTTTTTCCTCTTTCCTGCCCTCTTCTAATCCTGAACACCAGTCTTCCCAAAGATTGGATGTCACTCCTCTGCCCAGAAACCTTCAAAGATGTGCAGTTAAGTATCATATGACCGCAAACTTAGCAGTCCAATATCATAATAACGTGAGTTTACAGCCATTTTTTGGACAATGTCACCAGATCATGAGTTCCAGAACACACGGGGGTGGTGGGAGTTGTGGAAGGGGAGGGAGCTAAAGTAAGATTAAGGAAGGCAGCTAGCCTTATGTGGATAAGACTCAGTTATGAAGAACCACAGGAGAAGTCTGAGCTCCTATAGGGTGACAGGTTATTAGAGGTATAGGTAGAATTTAATAGAATCTACCCTAATGTCCATTGATGGAGGTGGGTAATCCATTTATATTATTGCTATTTCTTGAGACTGTCTTTTAGGAAGTTGACAGCGGTAATGTGGGGAATGTTGAAATCGCCAGGACCTCTGAGGACCTCCCCTGAATCCTCTGAGGAGGATCCAAAGCAAGGAGAGGAGCCATCACACAGGAGTGCATTGTTTGTATATCATCTCATTTTAATTACTCAACAACCTTAAGAAAACAACCAGTATCCTCTGTAGCAAACCTTGTCAGAGCCCTGTTCATATCCTTTCAGCTCTTGCTGTTTTCAGTGCAAATCTGCTTAATTTTCCTCCAACAGCACCTATATCTCTTTGTCTGAGGGTTTTTCCCACCTACATGAAACTCAGCAGGCGAAAGGTACTGGGGAGTTAAGACCCACACCAACCCCTCCAGAGTCCTCAACCAATGACTGATGGAGGTTGATGTATAAATATCCCAGCTCCCTCAACCCTTTGGTGAGATAGCTCTGAGACATAGATTCTGCAGTGTTTCTCCAGGGTTCCCCAGAGGTTTTAAGCTCCAGTTGCCCACAGGGGTAACTTGCTCAAGTAGCTTTTACTGGCTTTCTTCCCTTCCCTGTATCCTTCCCAGCTCCCGTCTGATGTTTCCTGGGATTAATTCCCAAATAAACTACTTTCACTCAAATTATTGCCACAGGGTCTTCTTCTGGGCAACCCCGAAATAAATCCTGACTTTTAAAATTTGAGAACTGAGGTTCAGAGAGAATAAATGACCCACTGAAGTTTAAAGCGACATAGCTAATAAAAGGCAGAACCAGAATAGAAGCTCCATCTTTGGGGGCCGGCTCGTGGCATAGCAGTTAAGTTCGTGCCTTCCACGTTGTCGGCCTAGGCTTCGCCAGTTCGGATCTGGGTGCGGACCTACACACGGCTCATCAAGCCACGCTGTGGCAGGTGTCCCACATATAAAGTAGAGGAAGATGGGCACGGATGTTACCTCAGGGCCAGTCTCCCTCAGCAAAAAGAGGAGGATTGGCAACAGATGTTAGCTCAGGGCTGATCTTCCTCAAAAAATGAAAATAAACAAATAAATAAAAGAAATTCCATCTTTCTCTCTCTCTTTCTTTCTTATCATATATCTTTGGAATCCTGAACTTCCAAGAAGTCTGGCTACCATAAAGCTGCCATGCGAGAGAGACCACACAGAAAGACAGTGCCAGCTGTTCCAGGTGACACCTAGCGTCGACCACCAGACAGGGGAGGGAGCAAGGCTTCAGATGATTCTGCTCCACAGTGAGCCTCTGACCAGTCTTTGGAGCCATCCTAGCTGACACCATGTGGAGCAGATTAGCTGTCCTCACTGATCCCTGCCCAAATTGCATATTCCTAAACTAAATAAATGATTGCTACTGTTTTAAGCTCTGCATTTGGGGGTAGTTTGTTACACAGTAATAGATAACTGAAACTGTGTATCCCTGAATTCCCTTCTGTGCATAATTCTGGGTTGCAAGCCACAAGAAACATGTTGCGTGAGATTTAGAAGGCAAAAGTGATGTCACAGCCAGATTGTTTATGTTTGAAAGGTCGCTGCAAGGTACCAGGCTCTCTTGTAGCTCACATGCTTATCTGATGCTGACCTTATTGGCATGGGGCAGCAGCCAGGCCCATAGTTCCTCCAGCTCCTGCCTGATCCTACTTTAGCCACTCCAACTGCTGAGCCAGCTGTACGTTTGCCTCCATGACAAAGGATGCCATCTTCGGCTTAGAAGTTAGAGGCTTGGAGGCAGTGAAAGATTGATGCAGGTTCCAGCTCAGCCTGGTGACTTTGGGCTCTATCCCAGGCACAAAGACAATAGCCTCATATAGACTGTGAAACCAGCCCACTTGAATAAGGTCAAATCCCTGTGATTAACCTCTAGTGAGTGGTTCTGCTTTTTGGATTGAACCCTGACTGGTGCATAAGCCATTATCGATAGCCTACAGAGAGTCAGACTCTCTGCTAAAGGCTTTACATACGTGATCTCATTTGGTCCTCACACAACTAGCTCAAAAGTTGGATTATAGGTACATAGGGGTTTATGATATAATTCTCTCTACTTTTGTTTATATTTGAAATTGTCCATTACAAATTTTTACTCCATTCTTAGATTCTTCTTTCACACCAAATGATAAATGACCTATACCTGGCCTTGTACTCACTTCCACAGATACTTCCATTTTTATAAGGATAAAAAGGTACTTGGCTCAGCAAGGGGGCATTGGATTTAGAGCCCAGAGTAGAAATGGATTCTTCCCAGTTGGTTGAGAAAGTTGCTCAACACCACACTTCTCCTACTCTCTATCTCATCATCTCCTTTGTTCAAACAATGGCTCTATCAGCTTTGACTCACTTGAGCCTGGAACTAATGCTTATACTGCTCCAGTTTTAAGATGAATTCCTTTATCCAGTGCTCCTCCCTTGGGCTCTCAAAATATCTATTCATGACTACATTTTTGCATATATATCCTTTCATAAACTGTTTATGTGGCAGCATTCCTAACAACACTTGGTGATCCATTGAGTGCAAGGACTGTGTCCTAACGTTTAGAGCAGAAATAGCGTCTTATCATTGTGTCTTTAGTGCTTAGCACCTAGTAGGTGTTCAGTGTGTGACTAGAATTAATTGCTGAATCAGTTAATTGAAAGATATATGACAAGCCTAAATCAATAAACTCAAACTGTCTAAAACAGTGATTCTCAAACTTTAGCATGCATCAAAATTGCCTGAGGGCTTGTTAAAACACAGATTGCTGGGCTTCATCCCCAGAGTTTCTTCAGTGTATCTGGGGTAGGGCCTGAGAATTTACATTTCTGACAACTTCCCAGATGATGTTAATGCTTCTGACCTAAGCACCACACTTTAAGAAGCTAAAAAAAAAGATGTATGGGATGCCGTCAGGTGTATCAACATACACATAATGGGAGTCCCAGAAGGAGACGAGAGAGAGAAAGGGGCAGAAAGAATGTTTGACAAAATAGTAGATAAAAACTTCCTAAATTTGATGAAATACATAAATCTACACATCCAAATAGTCGCTCAACTTAGAAGCTGAGCCTCCAGATGAGAACCCAGTCCTGGCTAACACATTGGTTACAACCTTGTGAGGCCCTAAAGCGCAGAACCCAGCTAAACCACGCCTGAACTCCTGACCCAGAGAAACTGTGAGATAATTAGTATGTGTTCAAGCCACTAAATTTGTGGCAATTTGTTACACATCTGTGGAATATTGGTACACTGGGTTTGAAACCCAGGTCTGTCTGGCTTCCAAAGTCTGTGCTCTTTCTCCTACACCTGATTAAATGTCTTGTGAAAGGTGTTAATGGAGGAGTTGATGAAGATTATAGACTTTCAGAGTTCCAAGGAACACGGGTCATGTAGTCCAGTCCCTCTCTGACAAACAGATCCATCTCTCCCAAGGGGACATCTAAAAATGCTGGAACATTGATCTAGAAGACAGTGGCTTGAGTCCAATTTATATTTAGATGACGACCAGGGACAACTATAACTAATGCTTTTAAAGATTTCTTATGATTCTCGGAGACCATTGATTATGATATTTAATCTCTGTTTTCCTAAAATTGTTAGCAGTAAAAACATTGGTAAAATTTGAAAAAGTTTGTGCGCTTCTTTTAGAGCCTTCGGGAGAGGAGGAGGGTGAGGAACCTGAGTCTTATTTCACAGACAACCATAAACCATCTTCATTGACTGTGACAGTGAAAGAAAGGCTGATGATTAGCAGGTGATAAACACCCAGAGCAGAATTCTTAAGGCACTATTTGCCAATCTTGAAGCCATCATATCATAATTATGA